AAAAAAAACACAAAAAAAAAAAAAAAAAAAAAAAAAGATAGTGATAAAAAAGAGAAGGGAAATGTTTGAACCTAGAAATGTTAGATGTAAAATCATTTTTATAGAGACAATATATAGAAAAAGTAGGAAAGAATGACTTTCAAATTTTGTGATGTCCCCCCATTAAAAAATTACACATCTATCAAACGTTAATGTTCTGGTAATTGGTTCATCTATTGAGTGCCCAACAACCACAACTAATTGCCTGATCACTTTCAGATTGAAAGGTATTCCCAGAGTAAACCGGAGTATATGAATGCCACCAATGACTGCCACACCAATCCCCTCCATGCTCCTGAAAAAATAGAAAAAGCCCAACTGATGAACGTGAGTCTTTCACCTGGGTTTTTCACCAGATCGAATGAGACAGTATTTAGCTTACCAGGCTTTGGATTATTAGAGGTAATGGTAACTTTATGTGCAGAAAATTTTGAAGGAACTATAAGCCTCAGAAGAGAAATTAGTTTATGCAGTTGATGAAGCATGAGTGAAATCAAGGGATGACTATTGATCTGTAGTAGCAAAACAAATAACAGATCTATAAATTGTCCATGCAGACAAGTTTAGTTCAAGCAATGCATTAGACACAGGATTGCAGCTATTATTCTGTACAAAAACAGGAAATGAATGGGAACTTCCATGTGTAAAATATAAGATTACAAAATTCATGAATATGTAGGAAACACACCCCAGTTTTGAGTACTCATTGTTAGTAGTGACTGGTACGTGGGAGTCCTACACTGCACCACTCGAGCCAGCGCGTCTGCCTTTCAAGGTTCTTCTGATTCTGCTTCTACTTCTCTGACACCTCCTCATTCATCATTCTCAACGACTCCTCTGTCACCTTTTATTTTTAATTTGTAAGTCTCCCCCACAATGGCCTATATAACATTGCTTTGCTTCTCATGGCTGCAACAATTGGCTCTGTTCTGAGGGCAACACAGTTTACATATCAAGCCTCAATGATTAATGGCAGCTCCAAATTTTCACTGTTATAATCTCTCCTTTCTGATTTCCTGCTTTATCTTTCATCCTAACATTATTTGAAATATTTTCACATGTTTCCCCCCTTAAAATTCTATTTTTTTCTCTCTACAACTTTCTTAATGATACCAGAATTTTTTTCCTCTGTTAAGTTCATTAATAATGAGAATGATCAAGTAAAGGAAAAGGTCAAAAAGGAAGAGAAGGAGGGATTTTTCAGTAAGCTTGAATTTAAAGTTTATTGAGAGTTACTACATGGCCATACATTTTACTAAGCACTTTATGTGCATTACTATATTTAATCTTACTCAGTTCTCTGTTCTTTACCACTAAAACAGTTCATGACTGTAAAGAAATCAAGCATATTAACTAGAGATCTTCAGCCCCCAGGGTTTTCATGCTCAATTCTGCTAGTAGTAGTGAACTAGGGGTGAAAACCCTCCAATGTGAATCACACTGATGCTGTTACTATAGACAACACTGTGCCATTTTCTGCCCGGACATGTGTCAACAAGACAGACTCTTCTGATACCAGCATGGGGGCTGGTGTTGGGATCAACCGAGGAAAGAAAGCCTGTTTAGGAATGTCATGTCTTCATTGTCTCTTGGTTGTAATATCATAAAACAAATTACCAATCGAAAATCAATACATATGACTCATCTGATTCATTAATACGAAAGAATCACTGGGTGACAATGATGTGGGCACAGGTAGAATGCCTCTTTCCTGGGTCAAGTACTGCAGGCACATACTGACTTGCCATAAATACTTAGATTTCTCTCATGCAAATAGACAAACATAAAAGAACTCACTAAGTGGGTGGTAGAATTTCAGAGGAAATAAGAAAATTCATGTTATAAATTAGAACTCATCAGAAGAATTAATTCCTAAAATAACCCAGATTTTTAATAATTCAGGGAAGTGTGAACTAAGAGCTTACCTTTTATAATTTTGCAAATTTTACTACCTTCAAAAATCTCTGCATACACATAGGAATAACCAAAGTCTTTTAGGTCAGCAGCTCTGAACAAAGATCACCTGTTACCAAAACCACTGTATTATGATTATTTTAATGAGACTGTTTATTATGTTTGCTTAGAATGAAGACCTTACTATGTGAATACTCATGATACAGTACCTCTGGAATGTTCCTCTGTTTGATCTAGCCTATGACCCACGGATTGAGGAAAACCTCACAGTTACTATCATATCAAGTGCCTTAGAGAGTAGTAGAAAATCATTCAAACTTCAAGATATCTTAGCGAGACAATTCAGCCAGGTGAGCATCCTGCCTAGGGCTTTCTTGCATTGTTCATGAATGAAAGAGTTGATGTCTGTAATGCACAATGTGTTTTGAAATATCCCATTCTTTAAGAAAAAGATTCATGACTTCTATATACTAGATTCCTACTACATAAAGCAGGAGCCTAATTTTTCATTTGATAGATTTTACTGTAAAAGAATCAGAATTTCAGTGCATTTTTTGACATATGCAGCCTTCCTTACATTGCACACAATTCCACCAAAAGCTTGCCTCTTCCCGGGCACAGGTGGATGAAATGTTTTTAAGAGTAAGAGAACTAGATAACAGAATTTCCAAGTTCAGCATTTTCCTCAATGTATCCCAGGATATCTGCTATTGAAGTTCCACTTGTCTTCTTTCTCTGTTCTGCTCAAATCAAAGGATGAGAGTGGGACAGAAGAAAAGAGAAAGTTAAATCTAAACTTGAGTTATGTTTCTACATTATAGATTCCTAATAGTTTTCTCATAGGCTGGCCAAAAATCTATATCTAGAGAGTTTTACATTTGTATGTGATTCCCAAATGTTAATTATATAATTACAAGGGACAAAGATAAGGAAATACTAATAAAACTCACAAGAAGTCATTTATCTTTTGGGTATTCAGATTATTCTTCCACTCAGATGGAAGTTGGAGAAGGAACACTTGTACTGGTCAGCAATTCCATTCCTGCTGTCCAACGATGAAGATGTACGTCATTCTGCATTTTATAACCTGTTCAAGTGCCTGAACAGGGATTCACATAAAGTTGATATGTACACCAAGATCCTGGCATGCTGAATCAGTGACGAGTGCTAAATCCACATCCATCCCATCCAGCTCTGAGATGGTGCTAAGGATCTATCCCATAGCAGGATTCTTTGAAATATACAGCTTTTTCATGCATGCTCTGTGAAATTGGTCGCCTCCTAAAAAAGTAAACACAGACTCTGTAGAGATTTCAAAATCTAAGAGGATAATTTGTTAACATTTCTTATTTTCATTTAATTGAAAATCAAAATAAAATCCACCCCTACAATTGAGAGAATGAAGCTCCTATTAAAATTAGTCATAAATAGCAGAAGCTGGCATTACAAAGAAGACCAGTAAGAGATTATGTAAGAATCACAGAAAATTATTCTGGGTCAAGTTATGAGAATCAAAGTATTAGACAATTGTTCATGGTTCTGGTCATGCTACCAAGAAGACTGAATCCTCAGGATCCTTTATGAAAGCCAGCCGCGAACTGTCAGCCCACTGTCACAGTGTTACACCAGACAGTATCAGTGCTTCGCAACTTTGTACAAATAGCATGAGGTTTATTGAACTGTCTGAAGATTGTTAGGATGCTGTCTTAGACCTTCTGGGTTGCTATAACAAAATCTCACAGACTTATAAACAATGGAAATGGATTTCCACAGCGTGGTCACGCAGGGTCCTTTCTGGTCTCACACTCCTTATTGTATCCTCACACGGGGGAAGGGCTCGGGTGCTCTGTGTGTCTCTTATACACAAAAGAACTCATATTATTGAGGAGGCTCCACCCTTATGACTCCAGAACCTCACAAAGGCACCACCTTTGGAAACCATAACCATGGGAATCAGGATTTCATCATATGACATTTCTGGAGGACGCAAAGTTTGAGACCATAGCAGATACAAATATGAACTGCCTCCAACCTCCTCCAGTAGCTGTCTTCATCCACACTCCATTGTATCCTCATTTTCTGCATCACCTTGCAACCATTCCATACATTCTGTCACTCTGGGTTTCACAAGGCCAGGTCAGTCAGCTGTCAACTCCAACTCATATTCAGCCTATTCAATGTTTCCCTCTCCCCTGCTGAGGCCCAGGGGACCTACCAGGAAGCATCAATGTGTCCATTTCTGCAAGGTTCCTTCTCTCTCACTCTCTGGATCTTCAATCCCTTGGGTCATGTTGGGACAGGGTAGATGGTAACAGATGGGAAAGTTCTGGCATCACTGATTAACATGGTGCTGTTGTAGCCTTCTCTTGGTCCAGATGGACTGATCTGAAATTTCCTCTGACTGACAAGTGTTTCTCTTGTGGGGGATCCTTGTGGTTTTCCAAGACATTCATAAGCTGGGGACCTCCAACATCATAGTTTCCTTTTTAATCAGGGGAAATGTTCTGGTACCCACAGCTCACCACCTGCAGTAATCACCAAAGCCTCTCTGTTTCCCTCAACCAGCAAGCACCATCTGGAGAACACTAAGTCACCCACAGTCAGTTCCCTACTAGCTGACCCATAGAAAACTCATGTATCATAAACACTCTGTACGATTGAATGGCAGAAATACTGGTGTGTATCTGTCCCCTGCCTGGGGCCTCTAGACAAATGTACAACTGCTCACATAGACACTAAGTAGATCAGAAAGCTGGATTCAAAACACATTTATCTGAGAAGTGAGATACCATTCTCTCTTCCTTTTAGAGTAACTATCCTTGTTAGTAATTATTTGGCCTTACATATATGCCCTAGAAGGTCCCTGAATTATAAAATCCTCCCAATAGACTGAGTCTCTACTGAGACTGGAGCAGTGTGACTGGATTAGGGTTGCTCAGCTAGTTCAACAGCCTCCAGACAACCAAGGATGAGGGCCAATCTCTTGACTGGCTCTCCTAAGAAGTCAGTGATGCTATTGTGCTGATTATGCAGCATCTTTAGGGATTTCCCTGAAATTCCTAGTAAACAGAAAATGGGAAATCAAAAGGTATATGGGAAAGGAGGATGAATAAGAGAGAAGGAAGAGAAAGAGAGAAGGAAGGAAGAGCAGCAAAAGGAAAGTGAGTCAAGGACTTGGGTAGTGAAGGATGAAAAGATGTTAGAACACTGTATTATTAAGGACCCAAATACATACATACATATATATATTCAATATTTTAAGAGCAAATATCTCATATTCCCTTTTATTTCCATTTTCTCTTCTCTCCTCTTTTTCTTAAATTGTCTTTTATATTACAAGTATTCTTTTGTTGTTACTAAAACCATAGTTCTTGAGATGAACAGAGCCTGGCAACTCTTCAGTACAGAATCCAGGCAAATTATCTTCTTTTAGGCAAAGACACCTTTCACCCACATACAGGAACAATGTCCAGCAAAACCAACCTCTTCCCTCATAGTCAATTATTCTTACCTGAGTCTTGCCCCTGTCTCTACCTGGGATGACCCAACCTTTCAGAACATGACAGAATACTCTGCCCCAAAGCAATCAATCAAACCCTCCTTTGAGAGAATCATACATGCCAATTTGGAGAGTGTGTCTTTATTCTACAAGACAACAGGAAACCAAGAACATTTAGTACAAGAGAGCAGAATATCCAGAATTAGAAAAGAGAAGCTTTAATGCTCATTGAGTTGTGGCTGTTGGGATGCGTTTTAGAGAATAAGAAAGAGATTAGGAAGAGCTGTGAATATTATGACACTAAAAATCAAAGAGGGTTCTGCCAAGTGAAAAGATGCAAAAGATGTGAGATACAGGAAATGAAATAGACCTTGACCACATGCAAGGAATGAGGCAGACATTAAGAGTCAGAACAGTCATCCAACAATATGGGACTAGTTGAGTCAACCAATGAAACATCAGAGAGAAGGTACGATATAAATGTAGGCTTTATCCAAAAGCATCTGAGCTCTATTTTCCTATATTTCATCAACTTAGTACCAGAAATCAACAAAAAATGTTAAGGTTCTTCAGCAAATGATAGAAATAAGGACTCTACGGAGCCTCTGCTAGACCCTCTGAAATACCAGAAGCAAAGCACGACTACCCAGTGATAACAAGCAGTAAGTCTCTAGTCACTTTCGACACTAAAATAAGACATACATTGTAAAGTATAAATCATGGATGGAAATAAAATGGAAAGAACCTATACCTTTACAGAGCCAGCCTAAACAAAACCTGAAACCTAACCAAAATAGAGGTAATGGTCTCCTTAATCATGTGTCCACTTTCTCCAAGAGTTCCTCATTCCTTTTGCCTGAATCCTCCCTTGTTTACTAACCCTTCATTGCCTTACTCTTAGCAGACGGTCAGCTAATCACTAATCAAATAATTACACAGTGTTCACTCCTGAAATATATTTGTATGATGGACTCTTCAAACTGAAAACTTTCTAATCCCCTGAAAGTAAAACTCTAATACTGGAAGGACTCCTTCCCAGCCTCTTTCCAAAATGCCCGCAGTAACTGTGAGTATAGCTACTTAGATATCTTCTGTCATTAATTATAACCTATTTGGATAGTGAGGACAGGAGATGGATGAAGCACTGAAAGATGTCGAGAAAGAATTGCACGGACAAGTGGAAAAGATAGCAGAAGCCTTAAACTTCGATCTATGCCTGTACACATTACCGTGTAATGGGAGCCAAGTGGGCCTAATCAGGGATGGATTTTTAAAGAAAGTTCTATATGACTTGGCACTGAGAGTTTGATTCAACTCAACTGTTTCAACCTGATTCTTTGATTCTAAGACTCAAAGCCACTTGTTTCACTTAACTTCACTAAGTCAAAACTGGAATATACTTACTGCCTATTTGAACACTGCTAAGAGATCTTAGATGTTCTCATCACAAGAAGAAAATTATAACTATTTCTAGTGACAGATGTTCACCAGACTTCTTGTGGTGATCATTTTGCAATATATATCAAATAATTATGCTGTATACCTAAAACCAAAATAACATTATATGTCAATATTTTTTATTGATAATGATATCTGAAACTAAAATAGCATTATTAGACAATGTGACCTATGTATAATGATCATATAATCATTATGTTATATACATAACACATATCCATACCTTCAATTAAGTTCGGTCACTCAGTTATATCCAACTCTTTGAGACCCCATAAACTGTACCAAATCAGGCTCCCCTGTCCTCCACCATCTCCTGCAGTTTGCTCAAACTCATTTACATCAAGTTGGTGATGCCATCCAACTGTCTCATATCCTCTGCCATCTTCTTCTCCTCCTGCCATTCATCTTTCGCAGCATCAGGGTCTTTTCCAATGAGTTAGTTCTTTGCATCAGGTGGAAAAATTATTGGAGCCTCAGTTTCGGTATCAGTCCTTTCAATGAATATTCAGGGTTTATTTCATTTAGTATTGACCAGTTTTATCTCCTTGCAGTCCATGCACACTCAAGATTCTTCTCCAACACCACAGTCCAAAAGCATCATTTCCTCAGTGCTCAGTTTCCTTGTGTTCCAGCTCTCACATCCATCCTGACTAATGGAGAAACCATAGCTTTGACTAGATGTAATTGTATTTATATATATAAACATATATGTACACACACCTATGTAAGGAAAAGTTTTGAAAAGGAATATAATTCTATTTTGGATAAAGAAATCAAATTAACTCATATATATTTTTTTCAAATGTGCATTTTAGCTATCATGTTGTGTCTAAAACCTTATCTTCATATGTAGTTTATGTTTATGCTGATAAAAGAAACAGAAACGTGTCTTAAGCTTGTAACGTTAACTGTGGACCAGCATATTTACAATAGCTAATCGAAGCCACAAAGTTTTGAAACAGATAGGCCTGCCCAGCACTCTGCTATTGGTCATTTAACCAACTGATCATTGAATATATTCCGCCTTGACTCAGAAACTCTTATAGGTGCTTAGTTTACATCAATAAACAAAGCAGGCAGACTCTTATCCTCATGGAACAGATATTCCAGCTGGGGGCAGACTGATAATCTGCCATAAACATGGATCCAGGTACATTATATGGTATGTTAACAGGTGATCTGTACTGTGGGAAAAGAAATAGTAAAGCAGAGGATGGGATTTAGGGAATGAATGTGAAGAAAGGGAGGTGATTTAAAGAAAAACAACTTAGACCACACTGAGGGAAGCAAACACCCTTTCTTGCATTCAAGATTCCAGTTTTCCCCTGTCCAGTCAGGTCTCTTGGTCTTTCTTCTACACATCTTCAAAATGTTTCCATCTCTGATGCTCTATGCAATCTCATGCAAATATGGGTGTTCTGAATATTCTGCCTCTCTTCAGTTGAACTAGTTTCATAAAAAAATTTTTGGTAAACTACCCCAAATTAAGTAACATTTTATGCAGCAAATTTTGATACTTTTCTCTTTCCTGAAGATCTAATCTCCAAATTATCTTCCATTTTACAACACACTGTCAGTGACCTAAGTATATTATGCAAAAATATGATATATGCATTTCTTTTCTAATATATTATGGCATTTTAAAAATATACACAAAATAAAACCTAAATAACAGTGAGATAAAAATAACTAGAAATGTAAATGCAAACATTTTCTTCCCCAGGTGATGAGGACACTCATTTTTAAGACCACTGGACTAATTGATTCTGAATGTATACACATAATTATATCAGTTGTTTAACTATAATAATAAAGAAATTTCTTTTATATATAGCTTCAATCAAAGTTCTCAGAATACTACAAGGGGCCAAGAATAAAATTATATGTGAATAACTCTCTTCATATGCAATATGAGTAATATAAGTAATCATCTTTAGTTCTTTTGTTATTCCATCAAATTATTTACTGTCTAGTAATCCAAACTCTATAATAGATTTCTTTTTTTCAGGGTTTAAATCTCAAATCATAATAAAAGAAAAGCAATGGCCTTAAAAAAATGGCCTAGTGAAAAATTTGGTTTAAAGCTCTACATTCAGAAAACTAAAATCATGGCATCTGGTCCTATTAGCCCATGGCAAATAGATGGGGAAACAGTGGGAACAGTGCTGACTTTATTTTCCAGGTCTCCAAAATCACTGCAGATGGTGACTGAAGCCAAAAATTAAAAAACGCTTATTCCATTTCTCCAAGGAAGACATACGAATGGCTAAAAAACACATGAAAAGATGCTCAACATCACTCATTATCAGAAAATGCAAGTCAAAACCATAATGAGGTACCATTACACACCAGTCAGGATGGCTGCTATCCAAAAGTCTACAAGCAATAAATGCTGGAGAGGGTGTGGAGAAAAGGGAACCCTCTTACACAGGGATGTGGAATACATATAAAACCACGGCTGATTCTTGTCAATGTATGACAAAAACCACTACAATGTTGTAAAGTAATTAGCCTCCAACTAATAAAAAAAAGAAAGAAAAAGAAATAAAAAAAAATTTAAAAAATGCTTATTCCTTGGAAGGAAACTTATGACCAAACTAGACAGCAAATTAAAAAGCAGAGACATTAATTTTTGAAAAGAGTGTCCATTTAGTCAAGGCTACGATTTTTCCAGTGGTTATGTATGGATGTGAGAGTTGGACTATAAAGAAAGCTGAGCACAGAAGATTGATGCTTTTGAACTCTGTTGTTCACACAGATTCTTGAGAGTCCCTTGGACTGCAAGGAGATGCAACCAAACATCCTAAAAGAGATCAGTCCTGGGTGTACATTGGAAGGACTGATGTTGAAGCTGAAACTCCAATACTTTGGCCACGTGATGCAAAAAGTTGGCTCCTTTGAAAAGACCCCGATGCTGGGAAAGATTGAGGACAGGAGGAGTAGGGGACCATAGACGATGCGATGGTTCAATGGCATCACCAACTCAATGGACATGGATTTGTGGGGCCTCCGAGAGTGGTGATGGACAGGAAGGCCTGGTGTGCTGCAGTTCAGGGGGTTGCAAAGAGTCGGACACAACTGAGCAAGTGAACCAAGCTGAACTCAAATGGCTAAAAGAATAAATAAAATGTTGTATGGATTTCATTATATATAATGGAAGGAACACCAGGTGGTGGTTTAGTTGCTAAGTTGTGTCTGATTCATTGTGACCCCACGGACTGTAGCCCACCAGGTTCCTCTGTCCACGGATTTCTCCAGGCAAGAATACAGATTCCCATGTCCTCCTCCAGGGGATCTTCCCGACCCAGGGATTGAACCCAGGTTTTCACAAGGCAAGTGGATTTCTTACTGTCTGAGCCACCAGGAAAGCCTGAATAATTTAATAATGGCATGGATGTTTGGAAATTAAAAGGATAAAAACATATTGAATATTAGATAAAGTAGACTTTAGAGCAAAGAAAATATCCAAGGACAAAGGAATACAAGGACATTACATAAGGAAAAAAGAGTCAATCCAGCAGGAACACATAGTAGTCCTAAATATGTATACATGAAACAAGATAATCTCAAAATACTTGAAGCAAAATTAGATACATCATATAAATACTCCTATACACTTTACTGAGATTGAAACTGTGACATGAAACTTTAGAAAAAGAAATCATCAATCCAAGATAGTTTAACCAGAGAATTCTAACAAATATTTTAAAAATTAAGATCAATTTGACATAATCTATTCAAGAAAAAGAAAGAGTAAGAAACCATTCCCAACTAATTAGATGGGGCCAGTATTGCTCTATATCAAACTCACACAAAGGAAGTAGAAAAAAAGAAATTTCAGACTAACATCTCTCACAAATTTGGAATTAAAAGTTTTCACACTCACACATATGAATCAACCAAATGAATTCAACAATGGATAAAATCATCTCTTGATAGTTTCTGATCCCTTTCTAAGTCTAGTCACATTAGCTATCCCTTCAAAGGGTTTAAGTGAATCAAGTATACATACAGTTCAGTTCAGTTCAGTTCAGTCACTCAGTAGTGTCTGATTCTTTGCGACCCCATGAATTGCAGCACGCCAGGCCTCCCTGTCCTTCACAAAGTCCCAGAGTTTACTCAAACTCATGTTCTTCTAGGGGGTGATGCCATCCAGCCATCTCATCCTCTGTCGTGCCCTTCTCCTCCTGCCCCAATCCCTCCCAGCATCACAGTTAGCGTCCCAGTAAGAATATTATCATACCAGAAATACAGTGACAAATCCTTGAGTCTAGGTCAAATCAGAAGCTGACCTCTCCCATTCAAGTTAATCCGACCCAGTCATTTTAAGTGTCTAGCAAAAATAACTGCAACTAAATTCATAAGATAAAACTTATCTACTACGTAGAAAATGTGGGTGTATTTGATATTCTTTATTTGCCCCTCTGTAACCCTGTTGATCATTTTCTATTATGTTATGAACCTTTGGAGGCTGAGAAGACCAGACTTTATCCCTCTAGCTCTCCTGGCTTCTGACTTCTACTTGAGTTTGACCAGCGGTGGACAAAAGAAATTGTTGAGTCAGTGGAGAAAGAGATTCGTGGATTGATTCTTTCCTCTGACTCCTTTCTTGCTGTGAAGTGGCCAAATCTCTCCACTGAAGCCCAGAGCTATGGTCAGAGGCCCTCGCTTATAGCTGCAGCCATGTACAAGAGTCTTTAGAGACTGCAATATCCATTCTCTTCTTTGCCCCATGGCCCTAAAAGTGTTCATGCACCCCCGTTCTTGCATGTCCCAAAGAATTTTTCTTTTCCTTTTAAGCTTTTCTTAGCTCTGCTACAGCTTCATATGTAGTTTATGTTTATGCTGCTAAAAAAAATAGAAACGTGTCTTCACCTTGTAACATTAACTGCAGAATTGCTTATTTACAATAGCTAATCGAAACCACAAAGTTTTGAAACCGATAGGCCAGTCCAGTACTATGCTATTGGTCATTTAACCAATGATCATTGAATATATTCCACCTTGACTCAGAAACTCTTATAGGTGTTTAGTTTACATCAATAAACAAGGCAGGCAGACACTTACCCTCATGGAACA